CCTCTCCCATCCCCTTCCCTTCCCTCTCCCCTTATTAGTCTCCATTACACATTTTATAAAGAAAAACCTTTAATCTTAACCTTTATATCCCTTCTTACTTAAAATGTATTATTCTATTTATTTCTTCTGCCTCTGTCAGTCTTCTCTCTTTCTCTCGGGTCCCCCATTTTCCCCTTTTCTTTGTTCTTTATACCTATTCCATGGGTTCCACATATCTTCCCATTGAGAGTCTCGTTCATTTATATATGCCGTTAGTTCTTCATATCTCTGAATCTTACTTAATTCTACTTCCCATTCTTTAATGTTTGTAACTCTTTGTGTGTTCCAGTATCGTGGGATTAGTATTCTTGCTGCTGATATAAAGAATCTAAGAAGCTCCCTTTTGTTTCTGGATATTGGTCCTGGGAATATTGAAAGAAGAGCTATTTTAGGTAATGGATCCTCTCCCGCTTCCATTACTTGGTTATATTTTTCAAAAACCTGTTTCCAAAAAGGCATTATATAATCACAGCTCCACCATACATGGAGATATGTTCCTTCCTCTCTTCCGCATTTCTCCAACATGTTGGTGCATTTAATGGGGAAATTCTATGTAATAAAGTCGGACATCTGTACCATCTCGATAATATCTTGTATCCCTTTTCTTGATATAAAGAGGCGATATATGTCTTATGAGTTAGAATAAATTATTTTTGCACCTCCTCCTTTGTAAATGAAGTTTGTAAATCTGTCTCCCATGCTAGCATAAAGTAAGGCCTTGTTGGAAATCTTGCTTTTATTATATTATGATACAATATGGAGATCGCGTGGGTTACTCTCTCCTGACAGCAGGGGTTTTCAAACCAAGTTAATGGTCTATGTAACGATGCTTTCTCCTGCAGACTATCATATAGGGCTCTAAGTTAGTTATGTGCGGGAAAGGTTCCCGTATAGACCAGTTTGCAAATGAATACACAACAATGAAACAAAACAGTACACCAATGTCTAGATGTCAACATCAATATTTTTTTAAAATATATATATATATATGCATTGGCTTTATACCTCTCTACAAACCCTTCTTCTTTACTTTTTTCTTACTCAATGTATATTAGGGTGAGAGGTTAGTGCAGGGAGCCAATGTTGAGGCAATCCACAAGCTTTATTTAAGCATTGGAGTGATCAGACAATCGATCCAGTGTTTGTTCCGCACACACAGAGGACCGGTAAATGTCACAGATTTTTACCGATCCTCCGCTCGGCCACGCACACAGCCGGGCCGAGCGGAGGAGGGTGGGATTCCACCTTAAAATTCCTACTAGATCTTAAGGGCCTGGTATGAGTTTTAGGGGGAATCTTACACTTTTTTTTTTTTTTAAATTCGGTCCCTCCAAACATTCCTACCAGACCTAAAGGGTCTGGTATTGTTTGGGAGGGGGAACCGCACACTTTAAGAGTAGAAAACAAATTTCATTTTTTTTCTTTAGAAATGTCAGTTTTGCTGCAGCAGGTTCTATACATCATACAGATCCGACACTTTACAGGCAGGTTAAGGGGACTCCCCCCAGGCACGATATTTGAAGGAATTTTTTCTTTTTTATTGTTACCCTTTAAGTGATGTTAAAATCCCTTCTCCTTTAAAAACGTTTTTTTTTCTTCTTCATTGATTCCTGTCCCCCAGAGCAGTACCCGGATCCCCATACACCTTTTATGGCCAATAACTTGCATATAAGCCCTCTTAAAGGGGACAATTGTTTTTGAAAGTTCTACCCCCATAGACTTGCATTGAGTTTGAGTTCGAATTCGAACTTTTCGGACGTTCGAATACGAAGCGAACACGGGGGTGTTTGGCCCATCACTAGTTACCATGAATATATGATAGGAGATTTTGGACATGTATCTGTCCAGTTGAGACGGACATTGTCTTTCTTATGGATATGTTTAGATTTATGACCTTTCGGTATTGAGTAGTATGAGGCAGTATGTGGAGCTTTTACTTTTCCAAACTATCCCCCAAATGGATTGGGGGCACTATTTTTGAGAAATGTGAGATTAGTGATAGGGGAGGAGAGTAAGCGTTTGCTGAATTCATGTCTTGGACAGTCAACTTTGGTCCTTTTTTGTTTAGAGCAAAATTTCTACCCCAGGGAGAATAATTGTTGCCTTCCATTGGTGCCTGACATAGTCATTTCCAGGCCTAATGTACCTGTTTTGAATGTTCTTTTCTATTCTTTTTTTTTTTTTATTTCTTGGTGGATGTGGTTTTATTTGTAATTTTGTGCCTCTAGGTTCATTCAGTTTCTTCTTTAGCCTTTTCTAGGTTTATTAACCTCGAAAAACAGTTGAAAATAGATTATTTACAGCTGAACTCTAGGAACATATAAAAGATACAAATTAATGAAGCTCTGTAATCAGTAATGTATCATTAAATGTAATCTTTAAATCCATGCAGTATAAGTACCTGAATTTGATCTGTTATCAGCCTCTTGCAGTCCCTGTACAGCAGGGCTGGAGTGTGGGAGGAAGAAACAGCACAAGGATCCAATGAGTTAATGTGCTGACAAAAAGCATGCTGATCGGAGGAGAAAGGAGAGTGACAGAGAGAGGAGATCATCAGTGTGCTGCTTCCCCTCTCGCTGTCCAGTCACAGGATGGGGGCTGGTCCGGGATGACCTATGATCAAATACATTTCTGCCACTGAGGACATCTAGTGGCAGAAAAAAGTATGCCCGCTCTTGAACACCGTGGACTCTGACTATGAATACGGCCGCAAAATCTGTTTAAAAAAAAAAATCTTTAAAGGGCTATTCATTTTTATCTTTCTTAATTTCAGCTGAAGTTCTGCTTTAATAATGTGTATTTTCACAATAGTCTTCATAATCAAGTACACCTAAAGCTTCGTCTTTACATGGTGTTTGAGCAGATTTATTATTTAAGCAAATTTTTTCATAGCATCATAAATAATGTTATCAATCTGTGTTAAGGTGCCCATACACTGCACGATTATCGTACGATAATCGTATGCGATCGGTTTTTCGTACGATAATCGAGCAGTGTGAACGGAGACGTGCGACCGTTTCTACTGTACGGTCGCACGTCTTCTGTCGAACCAGCATGTTCGAAAACCAGCCGGGAATCGTACGATTCTTGGCTGGTTAGAACGGTGCTCGGAAGATAAATGCTGAACGGGCCGGTGTGCGCACGCGCACACTGCCCGTTCAGCATTGCGGTCATCGGAAGCCCGCCCCTCAGGAGGGCGGGCTTGCGATGATCGAGAGTGCGATCTGCCTGTCCAAGTTAGGCAGATCGTACGTTTTTTTAATCCCTTTACAACCATCGCAAGACTAAAGTCTTGCGATGGTTGTAGAGTGTATGGCCACCTTTAATGTTATTGAAGTTTGTTTCTGTGTTACCTTTTGCTCATGTTTGGAATGTGCCACCTACTGGCAGCAAGTGGTAAATGTGAAATATTTGTATATAACATTTTGTATGTAACATTGTAGCTACCCCCTGGGAAGGCAACATCAACAGTGCCTCCCAGCTATCCCCCTGGGAAGGTTACAGCAACAGTTCCTCCCAGCTACCCCTAGGGAAGGCTACATCACCAGAGCCTCCCAGTGACCCCCTGGAAAAGCTACATTACCAGTGCCACCCAGCTATCCCTTGGGAAGGCTATATCACCAGTGCCTCACAGCTATGTCTTTGGAAGGCTACATCACCAGTGCCTTCTAGCTATCCATTGGAAAGGCTACATCAGCAAAGCGTTCCAGCTACCCCCTGGGAAGGCTGCATTACCAGTGCCTTCCAGCTATCCCTTGAGAAGGCTATATCACCAGTGCCTCACAGCTATGTCTTTGGAAGGATACATCACCAGTGCCTTCCAGTTATCCATTGGAAAGGCTACATCAGCAGAGCATTCCAGCTACCCTCTGGGAAGGCTGCATTACCAGTGCCTTCCAGCTACCCCTTGGGAAGGCTATATTTCCAGGGCCTTTCAGCTAAGCCTTGTGAATGCTGCCCTCTCTCCTGCTTCCCAGCTATCTCTTGGAAAGGCTACATAACCAGTGCCTTCCAGCTACCCCTTGGGAAAGCTATATTACCAGGACCTTCCAGGGAGATCTTGTGTGTAAACCATGTGTAAAAGCCTCCTTTGAATCGAAATAAAAAACAAAACACATTGACATTTTTTTCAAACCCAGTTTATATTAAAGAAATAATTATAATACAATCCATAACTGATTTTAAGCGACTTTCTTGTGGCAGTTTTAGCGATGCTTGTGTTATAAATAAGAATTCTGATCTTGTAGGAAAGCCGAGGGGTTTTAAAATTAAATGGTTGAACAAATAAATACAACATGAATATCTCCCATTCCTTGGAGATATTCATGTTGTTCAATTGGGAGCTGATGGGCACCAACCCAAATACTGAGGATCTATAGCCCGCCTCCTACATCACGCTAAGCGCTGGCAAGACTCGGAGGACCACTATTGGGAAAATGTTGTATCCACATAACCACACTTAATCCTTAAAATGTAATGTTACAATTAAATATATGAGTTTCTTTTTTATTTCACATATCTTTTATTGATTTTTTTCCCCCTCACATTTATAGACACGCCGAGCTGTCCCGTAAATGTGGCAGTCGCAAGTGTTGAGACAAACTAAAACATCTGCAGGGGGTAATCTCAGTAAGGGTCACCACACGCGTTACAATCTGACAATACTTACTGTACAATCCCCAACAACTATGTAGTATAAGGGCCTGCCTTATTGGATACAGGATAATTATTGTAGTATGCCTTATTGGATACAGGATAATTGGATAGTTAGGGTAGGTCCTTCCCTCCATTCTTTTCCCGTCTCTACCCTACTACTATGACCACGTTGCAATCTTTGGTGTCCTCAAATAACATAGTTTTGGTAAATCTAAAGCTAACAGTACAAAGATTATAACATGTGTGGTAAGGAATTAAATATTCCTTAGAGTGGAGCACCCGCCACCTGCAAGAAATTTACAAATAAGGTAGAACGACAGGAATTTTTCAGCTAAGCTCTCAACTGTTCAGCAATGAGAGTATGGATAGGATCCATCTTTCTGCTTTACAGCTCACAATGGGTCTGTGCGATATGTGCGTTAGAGTGCAAGTAGAATGAGACAAAAGTTCTCTCGGAGGTCTGATCATTTGCAGGTGATGATGAGCTTGAAATGTCCGTGCGATTAGCTGAAAAAGTGCAATAATCCACATAAAGCTCAGAGAGAAGAGTCCAGAATCGGTGCTTATGTGTTACACTGTTCTTTTTTTTCCTTCTTCAGGTTGAGATAGTAGATCCTGTTGGCCTCGGGGTAGGTGACTTTGGACAGAGGCAGTTTGTAAATGCCGGGATTTTTTGTGGTCATTACGACAAACGTGAGAGTCGTCAGGCAGAACGGCCAAGTGCAAGACGGCAACCCAACCTGCAAGAGAACAATGAGCAATGAATCCAAAGCAATATTTGGGTGGAACCCATAAGGAGCTCCACTTTCCATTATTACAACCTTATTCAGAATACAGTGGAGTTTCTCCACTCCTTGTACACACTGTGGTCAGCAAGCCTTGCTGCACAATAGTGAGATCTTGAATGGCTGGGGAGCAAAGTCAAGGTGAGTATGTGTTGCTGGTGAGGGAGCATTAAGGCAAATCATTTTGGTTAGAATTGTAGCTATAGACATGTCTACAGTTTTAACCAAATTTAATGCTCCCTCTCCAGCAACACATACTCACCTTTACTTCTTTATTCAGCCACCAGCAATAAGGAAAGGCAGCCTGTGTAAGACCCGAATCCCTCTAGTCACATTCATTAAGTACCAGCTTTGTCACATGGAGTGAGCCACATGCTTCTGCCAGAGGAGTATCTACAAATAATTGTACCCCTGGCATCCTGCCCAACCCTGGCAACCAGTGGGTGGGACATCAGGCACAGCGCTCTGCTTGCATACACATCTCCCCCCTCTCTCGCTCTGGTTGTTAAGTGCTGGGCAGGAAAGATGTGTCTGACCTTTAAACATCTCCCCATCTGGCAGCCTGGTGTGACGCTCTGGCCGGCATCCCGCCCAGGTCCTGGCAGCCAGTGATGTCACTAGTTGCCAGAAGCTGGGCAGGACACCAGCCAGAGCGTCCCTGGCTGCTAAGAGCTGGGCGCGGAAATGTGGATGGGAGAGTGAAAAATGTCAACTGACGCTGTGGGTCGGCAAACCTTTACTGACCCATGGAGTAGCACCCCTCAAGTGTCGCTCAGAGCATGTGCCATACCATGGATACCCCACTGGCCCATCCACACTCAGAAACACTGGGTATTATTCCCGGCATACAGAGCGGAACAGAGCAAAGGAAAGGTGAGTATGTGCTACTGGGGAAGTCAACCTATTTCTTTGCCCACAATCCTGCCTGCAAGGACAGGTGACCCGACCTTTCTCTGCTGCATTTACATGACAATCTCCCCACCCCAAGCTTGTGAGTGGACAGTGAAGGACAGGCAGAAGACTGGAAATCGCATCTCTCTGTCCACTTTTCCAATAAGCTGACTCCATTGTTGGCACATTTCAGCAAAACTGATTTGCTCCTTCTGGTGCTGCTTCTCCCTCCCCCAGCCTGAGCTCTGCTGAACAGGGGATTGCGATATGCTGAAAACAAGTCAGATTCAGATATTCACACTGACCCACTGATACTGAAACTGCTCTTAAATAAATAGCCGTATACCAAAAGTGCTAAATTTGGTCTGGTAAGAAAGGTTTTAATTGCCTCGGGAATTGTGCCTGCCTATGCTCAAAAAAAATCAGGAAGTTTTTAGGTAAAAAATGGAGACATGGATTTACTATAGGAAATATACTGTGATTACAGATTTAAAGTGACATTAAAGTCAAATTACCCACCCCCCACCCCCTCATGCTGCTTTAAGGACTGCCTCTTGATCTGATCCTCTTCTTTCTAGTAGTTTTCAGCAGTCCATCCAGCGCTGGTGCTGCTCTCTGATCCAGCACAGGCTGCTTTCTTTTCCTGTCCCAGGGTGTCTATCCAGCATGCACCTACACTGTAGCTCTCCTCCTCTCCCCGCCGGTGATATCCACTGCGCATGTCCCCGCACACATCCTCGTGCACGGCGCGCTTGAGAAGCTGGATTCAGCAGCTGGGAGCAAGCGGCGGAGACATAGGTAAGTTTTTACCTATTTAGTATTTAAAAAATATATATATTTGCATATATCTATTGCTTGCTAGCCATAGATATATGTAAAAAAAATTGTGACTTTAATTTTAGGTTCGCTTATTCATTTTTCATACAATACTCACCACTGCCATCACATTAGCCAATGCTGCTCCTACGTAGGCACACAACAAAGCTAAAAAAAAAAATGAAACAAGTAAACATATTTGATATGTGAACACTGATAAATGCTTAAAGTGTAAGTAAACTTTGACAGCAGGTAGGGTAGGTGGTCCAATGAAATATTAGAGTGTGTGACTTTTTTTGGCCAGGCAATATAAATTCAAAGTGCTCAATTTAACTTAGCTTTGTACTCACCGCAAGCAATGGCCAGAAGGTGGGTCTGCCAGGTAAGAGCGTAGAACATCCCCCCCACTGCAATACAGCCGAGCACTGAGTTATAGCCCCACAGTCCAAAATAGATCATGTTAAATGGGGCGGCAATGCTTAATCCTAAGAGACAAGATCAATAGAGGAAATAGGAATTAACATGTTGAATTTAATTGCTGCATCGATTTAACAGTTTAAAGAGAAACTAGAATGGTGATCAGCTAGAAGAGAAGCAGTCACAAGTGGGCATCTGTAATAATCTAAGTCTCCACTCATGAAATGCTATAACAGTGAAGCCTTACCTCTTAGGAATTTGCTGATTTTTTTTTAATTACCTGTATTCTCTCCCTGTCAGAGCAAAAGTGTCAGATTGTAAAGCTATCATATCTCCTGAGTGCTGATAACCGACACAAAGGGATGTATTTCTCAATGATTCATTGGTGAAATTCACCCTGTGAAAAAAATAGCTAAATTTGCCCAAGTACGATGCAACAGGATTTGCTCAGCAATTTCTGGTAATATTCGTCCAATGTATTATATGATATTCACTGTGTGAATCTTGGAAGTTTGAATCTTGCCAGGTACAATGTTGATAGTACAGTAGCAGCTAATTTTAACCTTTGAACAAACGATTGTGGGAATGTTTTGGGCAAATTTTGTCAAACAGAAATGTCCTTTCGTTCATTTGCCAACATGCTTTCCATGGTGCTGAAACTGTTTATACAAGTTCAGCACTAGGATGGTTACTGTTAGGCATGCACCGATACCAGTACAGATATCAGTGCCGATACCTGGCATTTTCATGAGAACTTTCAGGTTTGCAGCGGTTGCAGCTGGGACCCGGCTCTGGCTCCCCACCACTGTCCTGAAATCATTAGTCGATATTGTTTTAGAAAAACTGTCACATGACTATAAACAAAAATGTATCAGTACTTGTATCTGTGAGTACTTGGGCAAGTATCAGTACTAATACTTGTAAGTACTTGGGCAAGTATCAGTACTCGTTCTTGTAAGTACTTGGGCAAGTATCAGTACTTGTACTCGCAAAACTGGTATCGGCGCATCCCTTCTATATATTTATAAAAACAAAATCATACATTAAAACAGAGATGTACAAGTTCCGGGAGCTCCATGTGCTGCTTACAAATGACAGCGGCCTCCTAACTTTTGAATTTTTCTCTAGTCTAGTCTTAGAGCTCAAAGTATCTGTACTTGTACTTGTACCGAGAATGGTTCTTGGTATCGGTGCATTCCTAATTATTGTCATTTTTTTCAAATTAAAACACCGTGCCCCCCCAGCTGCCTCCTACAACTGGATGAATAAGCCTCTGAGAAAGACTTGTTCTCCTCCCCCTGTGTATCTAAGGAAGACCTGACTACAGGAGGAGATTCCTTCTTGGAAAATTCATTTATGGTTCCAGTTCCCTTTGAACTTATATAGATGCTTGGCATCTTTTTGGACGTTACATATGAACATGGAGGGGAGGGACCCGAGCTGTGGGAGCGACCCAGCACAACCCGCCCAGGTTGCCTGCAAAAAACAGCAGGCGGAGACAAGACCAGTCACCCTGCACAAGGAACGAGAGCTGCACTAACTGGTGTATATTACAGGAAGCTCCTGCACAGAGGCAAAATACAGAAGTTGTGTCACGCTGCATTAATGCACAGATCTGGAAGAAATATACAAAGGACACCAAGATTCAAGAAAAATACAAATGGCTCTTGCATTTAGACAGCATTTGCTTAGCACAGAATTTAGATTTAAATATTATATTGTTCATTTTAAAAATCTTTGAGAAAAAGAGAGCTTAAAAAAAAATAATTCCATGCTAAAATCAATTCCGGACATACCTGCAATCATCCCCATTGCAGATCCAATAGCAGCGTGCATGCAAATGATTGGGGAGGAAATGAAGAGACCGACCAGCATCATGCCACCGCTCCACGGGTTATCACACCCGTATACCTGCCCCACACCGACCGGCACAGATTTCAGCAGCTGAAAGACAAATAACATATAACACAATCATCTCTGTATTCCAGACATACTGCATTCCATTTTAAAAACAGTTATTTATTCAAGACTTTTCTGTCAACATACAAAAGTAACAACACGAATTCAAGAACAAGAACTTCTAAGTAATTGCCGGGAGGGAGAGCCGAGCAGCTCAGAGAAAGTAAAAATGCTTTTGTTGCGGCATTTGAAGATGAATTGCTTCACAACACTTGAAGCTACAGATGTCAGGCGGTGCTCAAGGCTCACTAGACATGTGCACCAGCAAACAATTTGTTTTGTTTAGTTTTCATTCGGATTTTGCGATATTTCATTTTTCGGGATTCATTTCCGAAATCAATTGGTTTTGGACTTGGACGAAATTCATTAGCGGTAGTCTGTGCGAAATTTAATTTGTTGGACGAAATTTTGTTGCAGCAAAATGACATTAGAGAATTTTTTTTTTTTTTTCTGTTTACAGTCTGCAGAAGAGGGAAAAAAAAGCTTGAGGTTCCCCCCAATTCATACTAGACCCTTTAGGTCTGGTAGGAATGATAGAAGGGACCCCAAGTTGAAAAAAAAAAGTGCTTGGGGTTCCCCCCAAAATCCATACCAGGCCCTTTAGGTCTGGTAGGAATTTTAAGGGGGATTACCAGCCCCCCAAAAATGGGGGGAAAAAACGTGGGGTCCCCCTAACATTCCTACTAGACCCTTGATCCGAGCACAGACCCGGCAGGGCAAGAAAGGGGGGGGCGATCGAGTAGCCACCTCCTTCCCTGCTCCTAACCAGGCCATGTGCCCTTGGCATTGGGAGGGTGTTAGGGGGGCCTGGTATGGATTTTGTGGGGAACCCCACGCACTTTTTTTTTGTTTTAACTTGGGGGTGGTCCCTCCTAACATGCCTACCAGATCTAAAGGGTATGGTATGCATTGGGGGGGGGACCTCTGGCTTTTTTTTTTTCCTCTTCTGCCCACTGTAAACAAAAAACATTTTTTTCCCTCTAATGTCATTTTGCTGCAATGAAATTTCATCCAACAAATAAAATTTCGTACAGACTACCGCTAAAAAAATGTCAGAATCGGAAATTCGAATTTCCGAAATTTTGTCCGAATTTCAATTCGGAATGAAACGAATCGCGCGTGTCTAATGCTCACGTACTGCTTGTTAAGAATGTAACTTTATGAATGCCCATAGTCTGGCCACAGGTTGACAAACTCAAATCAATATATGACTCTAGTGAGTTTCACACTTGTACTGCAATCTTTTGCACAGCTAGTAATGAATAAGCAACTTGCCGTTTGTAGCAGACCTACCATTTGTATGTCGACGTCAGACCAGGAGATGTTCGGGGTGGCAGTTGTAGGATGAAAGTTCACAGTGGGGAAGAATACATTGTGGGGCCCGGTGGCAGCCAAATGCAGGCAAACCGCAATATTGAACGGCAGAGTAAAAACTGGCAGGTCCCACTTACTGAAAATGGAACCCAGCGCACTGGACAGAATCGGGCTGCAAGAGAAGATGGGACATTACTATGTGATTAAAGTCCAGACACAACCCAGACCTTCAGATATGTTTTGCATTGGAGTGAATGACATACCATATCATTGACATGACAGCCACAGGGAAAAGTAGCCATCCGTACCAGTCTCCTTTAGCCGAGAATACAGCTATAAGTAGCCCCACTAACATTGCACTGTATCCGTGGAGTCCCGCCGCTATAGCTGACCTGTTGAATGAAAGAAAGCACAGATATAAATGACTCTGCTTCATTTTGCATTCTAGCAAACTGCCTATTAACCCATTGCCCGCCAGCCAAATAATGTGATTGAAAAGGTAAAAAAATAAAATAATCTACTATCCAGATCAAAACTTCACTTAGGGGTCTATTCATAAACAATTCCCAGGGACTACGCACTGCAAATATCTGTAAATGTTCCTATTGCGCGAATAATGTCAGAAATTAACCTTCTTAATATATTTTTTGAATGCATTGTGATTTAAAATTACATTTTGGCCACTGGATGGCGCTGAGGAGCACAGGAAATAAATACTTATTTCTTATGCTTTTCAGCTCCATCTAGTAGCCAAAATGTAGTAATACATTATACTGTGCTGTGCCTTTGCATTCAAAAGGCACAGTAGAAACAGCAGAGGATCCCTCCATCTATGCTCGTAAGCATTGATGGAGGTACCTGTTCTATTTTTTTTATTCAGCACACAAATAGAACCATGTATACCCTACTTTAGGCTCTTGTCACCTGGACAGATGTTCCCATTGGAAGATTACACCTCACCTCTTGTTCTTGTGACAGCTGTAAAATTTTGGATTTGACATAATTGTCTGCCCCAGGAGTCAGGACAAATAGAGCAGGTGAGGTCCCACAGGCAGTAGGTTCTTGGTCATCATGCTGACCCATTGCCTGGTCATCATGCTGATCCATTAGCTCATTTCCTTGCCATCATACTGATCTATTGGCTAGATTCCTGGCCATCATGCTGATCCATTGGCTAGTTGCCTGGTCATTATGCTGGTCCATTGGCTAGATTCCTGGCCATCATGCTGATCCATTGGCTCATTCCCTGGCCATAATGCTAATCCATTTGCTAGGTTCCAGGTCATCCTGCTAACCCATTGGCCCATTTCCTGACTGTCCCCTCCGCTCGTCAAAAGACCTTCTGCTTTCCAGCTCGCTCATCAACTCCTCCCATGCTCACCTCCAGGACTTCTCTAGAGTCTCTCCTATCCTATGGAACTCTCTACCCCAACCTGTCCGACTATCTCCCACTCTGACTGCCTTTAGGCCATCCCTTAAGACTCATCTCTTCAGGGAAACCTATCCCACCTCAACCTAACCACTCAACCATCACATTCTCAAATAATTCATCCCCACACAGCTACCTCCTCATGTATCACTGGCCCCTCCCTTTTAGATTGTAAGCCCTCAGGGGCAGGGCCCTCCTTACCATCTTGTCATGAATTGTATTGTGATTGTAATGTCTTCCTTATATTGTAAAGCGCTGCGCAAACTGTTGGCGCTATATAAATCCTGTATAATAATAATAAAAATTGCCTGGCCATCATACTGATGCATTGGCTCATTTCCTGGCCATTATGATGATCCATTGTCTAGGTTCCTGGTCATCTTGCTGATACACTGGCTAGTTGCCTGGTCATCATCCTGATCCATTAAGATAATGGCCCAGAATTAACTCAGTTTATAAGTTTCACTCTGATCCACCCTATTGCATACTTGTTCTGCACTAGTGAAAGCTTTTGGAACCAGAACCACCTTTGCATCTAGCTTTTTAAGGAAATCTCAAGGTAACCAACAGGTTTTCCTCATGGTAGGTTCTTTGACTAGATCTTTTCCATGCATTGACGTGGCAGAGAAAATGAGAAGATTACCTGTCCTGACTGAGAAGGAGAGCGGCGAGTGTGGACATTACAGTTCCCAGGCATCCTGCGATCGCCCACCATGGGTTTTGGAGGAAGAGTGCACCGATAATGATTAGTCCACTCAGAGGATTGCTGACAAACATGACCTGAGACGCTCCACGCAGCACCCAGTCAATGAACTGGAAGATGATGGGTTTATCTAAAACAGAACAGTACAATGTTAAAGTCAATGTAAACCCTGACTGAATGGCATTGTTCTGCTAAAGCAAATGTAACAGGAATAACTTTCATGAATCTTTTTTCTTCTTTTACAAAATTCTGTTTTGGCCCTTTTCGTGCTTTACTGCACCTCAATGCTGATGATCTCCTCCAGCCATCTACATACATGAGCTCCATCGGCAAAAAGGGGAATATATAATGTTGGAGATTGAGAGGGAGTAAAGGATAACTTAACTCATCAAATTTAATCAACTTATAATTAAAGACTCATCTCTTCAGGGAAGCCTATCCCACCTCAACCTAACTACTGAACCATCACGTTCTCAAACAATTCCTCCCCACACAGCTACCTCCTCATGTATACTGGCCCCTCCCTTTTAGATTGTAAGGGGGCAGGACCCTCCTTACCATCTTGTCTTAATTTTTGTATTGTAATTGTAATGTCTTCCTTATATTATAAAGCGCTGCGCAAACTGTTGCCGCTATATAAATCCTGTATAATAATAATAATAATAATAACTAAACCCAAGAACAAAAATGGAATATATTGCAGCTTTCCGAGTTCTCAGATGTGGTGGTTGAATCCATTTACATTTTTTGTGCTAAGAATAATTTTAGCAAGCACAGTAAGTACCCGCTGATGTTGCCAGATATGTAATGTCATAGGCACTTCCTGCGACATGAACGGATAGCAAAAACAATGTTATCTTTCTTGTGTAAACTACTAATATAATGGGAATCAAGAGAGGAGGAAAACATGTTTGAAGTCCAGTCTGGGTGGCAACCATGGTTCCTTCCAGAGACACAATGGAGGAGTTTGTGTAGCCAATCAAAGACAGGAAGTGAGTTACTGGAAGGATCACCAGATGAAAACAAAGGAGAAAAAGTCTGGAAAAAGAAAACTAATGCACCCATCACATCTAAGGACTGATAAGCTGCAATATATTATATTTTTATTTTGGGGTTTATACGCCCTTTAAATCAAACCTGTTGCTTTGTCCTGAATAGGCAAAGCCCAGGTTTGCTTTAACGAAGCTCCTAATTCTGTAGTAATCACTATGTTTTTTTTATTTATAACAGGTATTTATATAGTGCCACGCATTTACACAGCACACATTCACATCAGTCCCTGCCCTCAAGGAGCTTACAATCTAAGGTCCCTATCTCACATGCATATATACAGGACTAGTTTAGACAGAGCACCTGGAGGAAACGCACACAAGCACGGGGAGAACACGCAAACTCCATGTAGATAGTGTTCTGGAGGTGATTAGAACCTGTTTCCCCCTGATGCTTTAGGGCAGAAGTGCTACCCACTATGCCACTGTGCTTCACTATTTCTCTTTATTATTTCTCTTTATTACTTCTATTATTAAAATTGTTATTTTACCTTTCATCCAGTTTCCAAACTCCTTCATTTCTCCTGAAATGTAATGGATGGCAGTGCAGAATATTCCAGCCTTACTGGAATAGCGATGGGAATTCTCCACCGGCTTCTTCACTTCCTTCTCTGCCATGTTGATAGGAATGTGGCTCTCCATGGTTTCTACCTTCATGTAACACTACAAATAAAGAGAGGATCTCTGAATTATTTTGTGTGCAGTGAAGCATTCCCATAAAACCCACCAAGAGACCCATTTACGATCGGGTTTAGGCAGGATATATGTAAACATATACAGGGTTATTCACTGGGGAAGAGTTTGGAGAAGGCAGGAGAATTGAACAATCTAGGACAACATAGCTGAACTGGAAAGTGAACTGAATTGGAGAATTTTTCCAAATCAGCTATGTTGTCCTAGATTGTTAACTTCTCCTGCCTTCTCCAAACCCTCTAGTGAATAACCCTGATAGTTTTTAATTATTATAATTGTGCAGGCTTATTTATGAAAGATTAAACAATTCTTCCTCATTTAAGTGACTGAGTTTCATTCTCAATCTAAGATCATTAGGGAGCAAATGTTTACAAAAAGGATACCAGGGAGATAGATTAGATTTAAAAATGAATAATAATGAATACTTAAATTTGGCGTCACATGTTACTTTTACATTTATCCTCATGGATTACAAGACTTATGTTTTAGTTCCAGATAATTGCCTGTGGAATTTTAGTTTGAGATTTGGAGAATAAGAGCAAGACCACGAAACTATTGAGATCATGTGAAACCCATTGATTATGATAAGGAATATAAGTTAAGGGTTCTATCTGCAGGAATATAAATAGGGCATAAATATATGAAAGAACAGTATTTTTTTGTACAACTCTATTACATTTTATCTAATACTACTCTGTAATATAAGTCAACTTAAAAGATTTATATAAGAGTGCAATGAACTGCTGGATTACATTTACAGGATACCAAAAGGCAATTCCCGCCCAACCCACTGCTACCAGGCAATCCGAAGAGAATCATGTTACAATATGAATTGTAAATCTTCTCTGTTCTGAGTTTAATAGAAGTCTCTTTTTACTAGGGATGCACCGATATATCGGCCGCCGAAACATATCAGCCGAAAATTGCACTTTTGGCTAAATGCAGAAAGTGCCATTTTCCTGCCGAGACATTGGCATCCCTGCTTTCTCTCCTCCCCGCTGGGCGCTGCGCTGTGTCCCAGCGGGGAACGATAGAAAGTGACAGCTGGCCGGGTGCTGTGAGCGGCCGGTGTCTCTCCTCCCACATCGCTCAGCCTCCTATCACAGTCTGGCAGAGCAGTGTGGGGGCGGAGACAGACAGCACTGTCACAGGAGGCTGAGCTCTCCTCCCTGCTCGCTCGCTCAGCCTCCTGTGACAGCGTGTCAGAGAGGAGAGTGGGTATAAACACTCAGCGATCACTGTTTTGTATATATAATGTTTGTATATAATTGAGGACAGAGTATGGTTACTATATCCTCAATTATGAATAAATGGGAAGTGATCTACGTCACCTCCTGTTCATTCATGATTGTGGTTATAGTAAACATACTCTGTCCTCATGTTATCAATGAACAGGAACACTCAGTATAGAGGATTCCTGTTCATTGATAACAAGGGCTGCAGAAAAAGAGATTGAGGACTCTGTGTTCTCAATCTCTTTTTCTATTTCAAAAGGGAAATATAAGGGGTCTGTTTAGACCCCCCAATATTTCCCCAAAGCCCCTAAAAGTAAAGTAAAAAAAAAAAATGTAATAAAAAATTAATAAATAAATACAAATAAATATAAAAAAATTAAAAAGTTTATAAAAAAATAAATACAAATAAAATACTTGAAAAAATTTAAATAAAAAACATTTTCCGTTTCGGTCTGACATTTTTTTATTTCCGCTTTGTTTCGGTTTGGAAATTTCCATTTCGGTGCACCTCTAGTTTTTAGCCTTAAACAGTGAATGAATGGCAGACACCACACCTATGGACTGGTGAGCTGCATGGATTAGCTGCACAAAATTGATTTTGCTTTGAAATCACAGCTATTGCCATCTGCAAAATTGAACCAAATTAGAAACTCAGCTGCTTAGGTACATTTGGTTGCAAAAAGTTCCCTTTTTTTTGAGGCCATATTCACAGTGACATTAAAGTCAAAAACGTTTTTTCCCTCCCCCCAATGTTAATTAAAGCCCTTACCTTAAATGATGTCTCTAAATCAGATCTTCCTCTTCTTTCCTGTCCTTTTTAGCCTTCTCTCCAGCGCTGCTGCGGGTCTCCGATCCAGCACTGACTCCTCTGTCCTTGCTGGCACTTCCTGTCCCACGGTGTCTGCATGCGTGTGCACGCGTCCATAGACTTACCTTGCGTCTCTGCTCGTCTCCCGGCGCATGCGCCCGCCCCAAGATGCTTTGTGGCCGCCCGAGCAGTTTCGGATTTTCGGTCCGGAGCGCGCGGTGAAGACGGGGGTAAGTTTAAACCGCTTTTAACGTGTTTATATAAAAAAAAAGTTTTACATATATCTACAGCTTGCTAGCAGTAGATATATGGAAAAAAACTTGAGGGTTTAGAAACCCTTTAATTGTTAATTATGTTGCTTCAATTTTTTTTTTTCTCGTGGTTTGTGCATGAGCAGTGTAAATCGTAGGAATTTTGACGTACGGAAACGCCACCAAGGTAGCGAAAATCGTACGATGGAACGAAGTTTTCTAACCTGCTGGTTAGTCAAAAGTCGATCGATTGTACGGTATTTGCGGTTGTACACTGCCCATCAACTTTACGGATATTGGACGAAAACGCGATCGCATATGAAAATCGGCCAATATTTGTAAGGTGTATGGGCAGCTTTATTTTATTAAGATATGTAATTACCTTCTGTTCTAAGAATAACAAGAATAATTAAAAACTGAAGGATGAGTGAACCAGTACACAACCAGCTAACACCAGCTAATATGGCACAGTCTACCGTGTTTCCCCAAAAATAAGACACTGTCTTATATTTTTTTTTGGCTCAAAAAAACACACTAGGTCTTATTTTTGGGGTAGGTCTTATTATTTTTTTTTTATGTACAACAATCCACACTTATTCATGTACAACAGTCTACATGTCTTCATGTACAAAAAAATGGTGATCAGAGCAATCAGGGGTGCCGTACCTTTCCAAGACCAATTTGCTAACCAATCGCTGGTCAGAATGAGCGAAGCGCACTTTCACCACCGATTCCTCAAAGGCGGAGTGCATTTGGTATCACTCCGCCAGTGACAGGAGACAGCGCTACAGAGGAAGCATCGGCTTATGCGGCTCTGTTACCTCCGCTGCCGCCTCGCTTCCTCTAGCGCTGGCTTTGTTGGCACAGCTGATTCTCTCCTGCCTCTCCCGCGGCTCTTCAAGTTCCCCCTTATGCCACCACCGGCCCTGGGAATGGTCACAACTAGGTCTTATTTTCGGGGTAGGTCTTATACTTAAGCAATTCCCAAAAATAGTACCAGGTCTTATTTTCAGGGTAGGTCTTATTTTCAGGGAAACAGGGTATATCTGAGCATTATATGAGAGCATTATATGAGAGTCATTTATAACCACCCTAAGGGCTAATGTCGACAGGCTTTTGCCGCCATCACTAATTCTTCTCCACCCATACAAGTCTATGCAGCTATTAGCGAGTCAATAGTAGGTCAACTGCAGAACCGGTCAGTGAATTCTGAATGAGCTCAGAAGCTTCTCAAACTGATGTTAAAAGCACTCTCATCAACACAGCCCAAAGCTCAATAACACCTATTTTTCGGTTGGGCTCTTTGCATCCCAATTCATTTGGACACCTGGTAAAAACTGATGCAAATGTCTACAGCAGCAAACAAAGATGTGGAACACAAAGAAAATATACTTATAAAAATCACTGAGTAATAGGTTTAGATAACACTTGTAACATTGACACTTTTCTCCGCATTCCAGTCCTGTGAGGGATTTAACGACTTCCCCGGATTTAACGATGTATTGTATTTTTATAAGGCTGCTGCACATATTTACCTTTAACAATCTATATTAAGGTTCACAGCACCTGCCACTATAAAACACTAACAAGGTTATTCACAAAAGGGTGAAGAGTTTGGAGAAGGGAGGAGAAGTCAACAACCTAGGACACAATAGCTGATTTAGAAAAATTCTCCAATTCAGCTAATTTTCCCCTAGATCAGGGCTGCCCATTAGGTCGATCGCGATCTACCAGTCGATCGCGATGTCCTGTCTTCTCTGGATCCCTGCTGCTCTCCCCATCTGTATGCAGCGGGGATCCGAGGAAAAGTGAAGCTGCAGTTGGCGGCGGGGGGCGGAGCCGTTATCACAGCAGCACGCCAAGCGGTGAGGAGAGAGAGAGCCGCTTGGCCTGGATCTGACAGCCGGCGGCTCTCTCTCTCGTCTGATCACTCCAGTGTTTGTAAATAACTATGGACACATAGTGCTATGTGTCCCCAGTTATGAATGAACAGGATGTGATTTACATCACTTCCTGTTCATTCATGAGTTTCTCAATGGGGAGAAGCACTCTGTACAGAGGCTCCTCCCCATTGAGAAACTGGTGATAGTAAATATGTTCTGAATGAATGGGAAGCCTCTGTGCTTTCCATTCATTTAGAACAGAGGCTGCAGAAAAAAAGATTGAGGACTTTGTGTCCTCAATTTCTTTTTCTATTTTAAAGGGAAATATCAGGGGGCTGTTTAGACCACTAATATTTCCCCGAAGCCCCCCAACAGTAAAAAAAAAAAAATAATTAAAATTTACAAATTAAAATAAATAAGAAATAATAAAAATAAAATAAAAGATAGTAAAAAATAAAATAAAAAATCCTGGATGCAGGGCGCTGGGTGACGTTCATCGCATGCACCCAGAACACAGCCATATTAGTGCCTGCATTCCGGTCCAGTGTGATCTGCAAAAATAGTGCTTGCACCCGGAACCCAGTGCCTGGGTTCCGGGTGCAGGCGATCGCACTGTGGGCGAGGGGCCTGGCTGCGGTGCCATTTACTTTAATACACCGCCACACCCCCACCCACTCCCCCTGAACGCAGGTGTTTTTTCATTGGTAGATCTCATTGAGCTCGTCATTTGAAAAGTAGATCTCCAGACGAAAAATTGTGGGCGCCCCTGCCCTAGATTGTTCACTTCTCCTGC